GTGGGAGACGCCCGAGGACCCGCCGGCGATTACATTGACGGTCGGACCCACGGCTCGTGTTGTGACGATGCATCACCTGCGGAACTTGTTGGAGCCTGTGATTCAACAGGACGGACGGCCTGAGGAAGTTGTCCGGAACATCCAGTGTTTGTGCGCAGAGGCGTTGAGGGCGGAGTGCCATCCAGGACCATTTTACCTTCGGCGAGTGGTTGAGGAGTACGAGCAGTGGACACACACCGGCATTTCGGAGGTACGGGAATGGCTTGAGTCCGACGTTCCTGCCGAAGACAAAGTCAGGTGGCTGAATGAGGCCTACTCGTGGTTGGCTTGCGAGGCAATCCACTCTCACGGGACGCTCCCAGACGCTGTGGTTCCGGGACACCTCTTCCCTACCACTGACGGCTCTTGTCGCATCATGCGCTCTCCGCCAGCTCTTGCGCGCTGGACACACTATCTGCGCTCCATGCGGACCATGACCCCGCAACATGTTCTCGAGACCCTTCTCGTCCTTTCTCGCTGGAATCCCGCCCAGGCTATGAGTCAAGTCCATATGACAATGTGCGTTCATGAGCAAATTCTGTCCTCCTTAGAGCTTCTCAACCAAAGCCTGACAATTCCTGACACTGAACTCCGAGGAATCGCGGCGGCCGCTTTTTACGATACCGAAGCTGATGTGACGCCCGAAGCTGAAGCTGCTGCCCCGCCCGACGGTGCCCCGACCCCACTTGCGGGTGTGCTTGGGGGTGCGGGCCAGGTAGACGAAGTGTTTGAGCAGACGGTGGCAGATGTGGCCGAATTCGTTTCGACTATGAAAGAGTCTCTGACCACGTACTGGGAGGAGCTCTCTGCGGTTTCGGGTGCCAGGCGAAGAGACCTGATGGAGGAACGAATTAGGGAGAGAAGCTGCGGGCCAGCGTTCTGGAGGTGGATGGAGAAGCTGGCGATGGGTCGCTTCCTGAGTTTGCGTGGGCGTTATCTCGAAGCGTACGAACGCTGCCGGGACCGTTTCCTGGTGACGTACTTCGACAACGCGGCGGGGGCTGCTGACCCGACTGACGAGTTCCGGCGTGGGGCGTTTCCGGTTGCGGAGTTTCCAGTGGGGTCTGAAGTAAAAATCCGTTCCTTCGCGGACTACCGGAATCGTGACTTGCGCGACCGCGCGTGGATGGAGGAAGTGCTTGTGCGCGGTCTGACGCACATTTTGTGCACTCTGCAGGAACCCGTAGAATTTGTGTGGAGAACGCACGAGCCAATCACCTTCAGGCTTCCGATAATCCAGGTCTACGCCGCCTACGAGACCGCCATGCCCGAACTCGTGCACAGAGTCGCCTTCGAACAAGGCTACGAATACGCCACCCGCGCCGCCATGGTCCTGGTAGCGACACTCCACCAGCGACTCACCGCCATCGCCGCAACCCTCGTGAATTCCTGACTCGATTTCTGAATCGACGTTTTGCCTACAAAAAGTCCAGAGCAGCCCAGAGTTTTTTGAACAGGTTACGAGTCTACCTGCCGAGAATTACCGGCCGTTGACGAGCAACGTGTCTCAAGTACATATCCCACCACCGTTGCAGTGTCGTGTTTGCGCCCAGCGGCTGCCTGTGATTCTGGTCGGGAAACGGCGTGTGTTGCTATGGTGCTCCCCGGTCGTCTTCGCCGCTGTCGCATTCGTATTCCTCGATGCTATTTCGGAGTCGTTTCTGATATCTTGTTCTGATGTTATATAGTACATGTCGTGGAATTGGGGATGGGGGTCGTCCAGAAGTTGCTGCTTGTTCGAAGACGTCTGCGTTTCAAGGGATGCGGCAGTAACAATCTTGTCTAGCACCCATTCCTCAAAGCCTCGTTTGGTCAAAGAGCACTAAGACCCAAAACCGAACCTAGTTCAGGTCAAAAAAGGCTAGGTGTTGCCTGACACCGGTGTATGAGGCAAAGTAACCTGTCATTGTCACATGCAGGTCTTCGATAGCTTCCCCATACGATCCGTGCTACTTTCGCGACGACGCTTTGCTCTTCTGGCGGAACCGGCGGGTGTTATTTCCGGGGACAGTTTCGTGCCGTTTAACGGACACCGGACTCGGCTGGCCACCCTGTCCACTCGTTCGTAATAGGCCGCCAGTCTGTCAGCGAGACGACCACCAGCTCTAAATGACTCTACGCGCAGACAGCACGTGAGCAGGTTCTCTACCGCCTTTGCCACTCCGTCATCGTCCAGCAATGTGGCACCAATT